TATCTTTGTCATTAGCACAAGAATTATAGCTCCCATTTTATAATTGCAAATGTCTGCCTTTACCAGCTGCATAACAGCCAGAAATCAACAAGTAAAGCTTTCTCTCAGCATGGGGTAGCAGAAGCTGCCTGTTGATTTCTGTCTGTTTTACAGCTGGAAAAAGCAGAGAACACATTTGACAGAATAAATGATAGCAACCCTAGACCTCCAGTGCTAAAAGTCCAGTTATAACAAGGGTGGAAAACCTCAGGCCAATTCCAGCCCTGCTTGCTTTCTCCCAAACACAGATTCTTGGGCATTTCCCCAGTATTTGTCCATTTCCCCACTTCTGAAAGGCTGAAATCCTCTCTTAATTCAACTTAATAGCAGGAAGACAATCAAGCTATACTATATTGGGTTGGATTTTTTTGGGGTAGGGTAGCAGTGGCTGACCTAGAGAAAGCAGCAGGGGAGGCTTTTTGAAACACAGAAACAGAGCGAGTCAGAAGGGGTCTCCCGGGCCATCTAGTCTGACCTCCGGCACCAGCCGGCTCCGCTCACGACATGCCCACCATGTGGACGTCCAGCCTATCCTGGAACACCCGCATCGATGGGGCCTCAACGACCTCTCGTGGAAGCCCATTCCACACCCTCGGGGTCCTGACTGTCAGGAAGTGCTTCCTGGCATCTGAATGGAACCTTGGCTCCCTGAGCTTTGCTCCATTGGAGCACGTCCTGCCTTCCTCTGCAGGGGAGAACAGGTCTCTACCCACCTCCATGTGACATCCCCTCACATACCTGTATGTCGCCAACATATCCCCTCTGAGTCTCCTCTTCTCCAGGCTGAAGAGACCCAGTTCCCTCAGTCTCACCTCACATGGCATCCCCTGCAAACCGACCACCAACCTTGTGGCCCTATGCTGCACTGACTCCAACCTGGCTATATCCTTTCTGTAATAAGGGGCCCAAAACTGAACACAATACTCCAGTTGCGGGTGCACCAGAGTCGTGTAGAGTGGTAGTAATACCTCTCTTGATCTAGAAGCCACACTTCTAGATCAAGCACAAAAACATGAGCACAAAAAGGCAAGAAGAACCATGTTAGGTCAAATTAGAGTTGCAGCCACTGTAGTGTGGTGTTGGACTGAGTCCCGGACGATCATGGTTCCTGTCCCTGCTTGACTATGAACCTCCCCATAGGACTCTAGGCCAATTCTCAGCCTAGCTCACCTCACAGGGATGTTGTGAGCATACAGTAAAGAGGAAGAGCAAGGTCTTGGGTTCCTTTCAAGGGGGAAATGTGGGATACAAAAGTAATAATAAAAAGCAATGGCCCATAGTCCAGGCTCCTTTTTGTGCAGTAGCTAACCAGGTGCCTGCAGAACACCCCAAAGCAGGACATGAATGCAATAACCCCACCCCCATCCTATTCCCCAGAAATTGATAATGACAGTTACACTGATGTGATGTACAGCCATCATGTCCAGCCATATCTTTGATGCATTCATGTATTCCTCTTTAAAACCATCCATCTTGGTGCCCAGATTTAGTCCTTACAACTGCAAATGTGTGTACATCAAACTCACGTTTACAGGCACTACTACAGAGGTAGAGAGTGAAAGCTGGCAGCTTTGCTGTGGAGTTCAGCGGAACATTAAAGAGTGCTACTTTCCCTTAATCTCCCCCTGCCCAGTGCCAATTCCCTCTTAAAGTACTTGAAAAATGTGGATCAATTGTAAACTCTTTTGTTATTGACAGAAGAGGAAAGGAAGAGAGGGGCTGCTTAATTTAAATTACTAGATAGTCCCACCTTGCATTAAGGGAGGGCCAAAAGCTCTTTTCTTTCTATGAAAGTTGGAAATCTTACAATTTTGTCAAGAATCTTTTGGCCAAGGGAAAGAAAAGGCCTTGGGGGCAAATGATGCATATTTAATTCTAGCCAAAACAGATACCTAATTAGGCATTTGGGTCTTCTCCTATTACAGGATTTTAAAAATGCAACTGAAAGGCAGGGATGAAGTCATGACTACTGATTGCAAAACAGGAAGGGAGGCAGAAGGTCCTGATCCATCAAGCTCATTGCATGACCTTGGTTGCAGGGTCAAGAATTAATTCTGACTTTTCTTGCAGGGCAGACACACCAGCCATACCATAGTGGAAACCCAAAGCAAGTGGCTATCCCCTTCCTGTAAAATACTAAATTTTATTACAATTTAACAACAAAGCCAATAGCTTAAATCTTTTCCTTGTTTCTTTAAAGTAAGAAGTTTTAGACCATAAACATCATTTGACATGGAATATTTTCACCAGGCTTCAGATTATCCCCACTATTCCAACAGTGGTTCTCCACCTAATCAAAGACTGGGCAACTTGTGTCCCTGTAGATTTTTTGGCCTGCCACACCCATCACTGTTTACTGCTGGGTAGACTGACAGGAGATAAGGCTAACACATCTAAAGGACCACAATAAATTCACTCCCTGTATACTACAAATGCTTCTTCATGGATCACTGCCTTGTCATGGCGAAGGGGCTTGCATAGCTCAATGAAGCTATGAGCTATGCCGTGCAGGGCCACCCAAGATGGACAGGTCATAGCAGAGAGCTCTGACAAAACTGGAGATCCACTGGAGAAGGAAATGGCAACCCACTCCAGTATCTTTGCCATGAAAACCCCATGGACAGTACCAAAAGGCAAAAAGATATGACTCCGGAAGATGAGCCCCTCAGGTCAGAAGGTATCCAATATGCTACTGGGGAAGAGCGGAGGGCTAGTACTAGTAGCGCCAGAAAGAATGAAGAGACTGGGGTCAAAGCCGAAAGGACACTCAGTTGCAGATGTATCTGGTGGTGAAAGGAGAGTCTGATGCTGCAAAGATCTATACTCCATAGGAACCTGGAATGTAAGATCCATGAATCAGGGCAAGCCAAATGTGGTCAAACAAGAGATGACAAGACTGAACATCGACATCTTAGGAATCAGTGAACTAAAATGGACAGGAATGG